GTCAGGTACATTTTCTGTTATACATCATATAGAAATTTTATAGGAACCTAAGTAAAGTACTTAAAGTGTTATAATTGTGTGACTGTTATCTGAATAGAATTTGCAAAATTATTTGAGAACAGTCATCTTGTTCATTTGATGTGTTGTTTGAACTAATAAGGTCAACTTTGTCTAGCATATCATTTTTAAAGATCTATTTGTAAAAAAAATTTGAAAAATTTGAAAACACTTATTCACTCTCCCTCTATGTGTTCTTCCACATACTAAGTTAAGAAGTCACTTGCCCAACAAAATGTTGACTTTTGTCCTTTTGTATCTTTTTTTTGTGTTCTTTTCCTCTCTTTCTGTCATTAAGATGGTTCAACTTAGCTCTTCTTTTCTTTTTAATTTTTTCTTTTTATATTTTTCCTCTAGAATGTAAAGCTGAACTAATCAGAAGTCCAATTAAAATTATTAAAATTTAGCAATATTTTACTCCAACCAGCGAAATTTTTTTTGGTGCTCCAAGCCCCATGTGGTCCTTCCATTCAAGAGGTGACACTTGGACAAAAAGTTATTTTTTATTTCTTCTCTCTCCTCTCTCCTCATTAGATGTATGATTTTGATTGGTTCGAACTACTGAGTAAATAGTGGTCCCAGACCACTGAAATTCTTCTCTCAACCAGCCTATTTTCACAAATCTCAATTGCTTCGGCCCATAATCAAGATAAGCTGTGTTTCAATGAAAGTGTCACATTTTTGTTCGCAAAAATAATTCAGATCAAGGGAAAATTGTTCTAAAATTAAGCTTGGGTAGATTTCAAAATTGAGATCTGTCAAGCACAAAATTAAACACAAATTAGCTAGGTGGAGTGGCAGCAAACTGTTACCATTTATGTTCTTGTCTAAATGTGTAGAATTTGATCATGAAAATAATAAAGTCACCAAATCTAATTTCATTATTTTTTTTTTTTTTTTTTTTTTTTTGATAACAATTAGTTTTCTTATTTTACTATGTAATTGGCTTGATTCTAAATTTAAATTTGATCTAATCCAATTAAATTTAAAACGGTAAGGATTGAATCATTTTTTCAATATTTTATTTTATTTTATTTTCCAATTTCATATATAAACTAATAAAAGATAACGTACTCAATGTCATGATCAACATTCCTCAATCACAAATTAACTTGTTTACTTTTGCTATGATTTATTATTTTGTAATTTCGTTAAGGATATTTTATCATCTTTTTATCTTTGTCAACAATAAAGTTGTAAAAAAAGGAAATATTTTTCTAAAGTAAGTTTATCCAAACACACACATAAGTTGTTTGAGAATGAGATTCCTAAATATCAATGGTAAGCCTCAATTGTGTAAATCCATCTTAAATTATCGTACACCCTAATTACTTACTTCAAAACAAATTACAGCAAGATACAATTTATTATATATATATATATATGTGTGTGTTTTAATTAAATAGATAATTTGTTACATCGATTCGTGTTGTCTGTATTATGTATAAACTCAAAGGCTTAGTTGATCTCTCCTCTTATGGTATTTACCTGTTCTACGAAAGATTAGTGGATAAAGGTATATAAAATAGGGAAAAATTATACTTACTATCATTTTAGTCTGATTACTTTTATTGTTGGGAGTTGTTCCTTCTTCAATGCTTGGCTCAAGTCCTAAGGTATTGGAACTCTTCATTTTGGTGCAAGGCTCAAGGGACACATCCTTTGAGTAGTTTAATGTCTCTCTAAATGAAGGTGCAAGGCTCTAGGGACACATCCTTTGAGTAGTTCAAATGTCTCTTCATAATTGAAGATCTAGAATCATCTCCCTCCTCTATATAAGCTTATAGTGTGTGAGGCTTAGAGATACGAAAAAGAATTTTGAATACCTCTAGAGATAAGTTTGAAGTAAGATACATCTTTAGGGAAATTTGAGATTACCACCATTGTAGGTGAAGTTTGATTGTACCTCTAGGGAAGTTTGATTGTTGAAACACACTATTCTTATAGTGAAAGTTTGATTCTGGACTAGTGTCTCGTGGGTTTTTACTTCTTCATTGATGAAGGTTTTCCCACGTTAAACAAATTGCCTATGTTCTTCTCTATCTCTCTCCTCTTGCATTTTACTGTTTCGCTTTTGTGATCGACTTAGGGTCCGACTTTACCCAACACTTATTACCTACTTGGTTATCGTTGGATCAATTTAAAATCAACGGCAATTTGATTTTTTCTCTTTTTCAATCGTTGATTTCAAGTTAATCCAACGGTAACCAACCAAGTGGTAAGATTAAAATTGTAATAAGTACAATCGCCCCTATAAAATATTATTTATTTGTTCAAATGGTAATGAATTGTTCCAAATTCCAATTAATTAGAAGTCTCCAATTAGTGGATAATCACTAATCCGTGGAAAAATAAATAAAAATATGGAAAAATTTAGAAAAGGAAGAAATTAATGATATCATCATCAAAGGTCTTCTTGATTCATGCATTTGCAACATTTGTACCATAATAAATAAATAAACAAATCCTCATAATGATAGACTGGATACTATAAGTAAAAATACACACCTCTATTACTATTCCCCTTTAAACTGTTTGGTAAATAATGTAAGGGTTTTATTAGTGTTATGTAACATAATGTAAGTCTTCTTTCCAACTCTCACATCAAAAGAGAGAGAAAGTGGAATGATGAAAGAGAAAAAAAAATATGTGGATCCCACCTCTTTAATGTGTGGGTAGGAAAGTGAAGTTATATTATGTTAAAGGATAAATATAAAACTCATAATGTAATTAGAGAAGTTCAGTTGAAGAAATATCAGCACCTCATTGAGTTAATCAAAGCAGTCACATACTCACGTATGCAAGGAATCTAAGCATTATCATTCTAGATTTTGCGTTTTGTTTGTCCAAAACGAAGGAGGGGACCCTCTAGTTTCATATCATTATCAGGACATTGTACATTTCAGCTCATTGTCATTTCAGTGGAACTGGCTAATGCTTGGAAGAGCCTTTTGGCTTTAGGATGCTTGAAACTGCTGCGTGGACACCATGCGCCCAGGACCACACCATATTGATGCAAAAAAAGCATCATCATACTTTGGTTTTTATACTAATGTTCAATGGTCAAATTCGGAGATTTCTACAGCCAACAACTACTGAGATTGTCTGCATGCGGACAAATGTGAAGACTGAGGCTTGTGGATGCCACGCTCCTCATAAAAAAATTGCTTATACAATGTAAATTGTTAAGAGCGGTCACGGTCACAATTACAATTTAAGGTTCTGGTTGCTTAAAGAAATTATGGACAATTACCAAAAAAAATAAAATAACAAATATATAGTTGATGCGATCACAACTACAGTTACCGGGCCGCAATTGAAAACCGTGCGTTTAGTTTATTACCAACATTTGATTTTATAGATCTCACAGACGTGGACTAATTAACAAAAAAAAAATTAAAAAAAAAATGCAAAATCAAATAGTTGTGATTAACGTGGTGTTTACATCTGGGTAATGTAAGGATCTCTCCACTACTCACCCGTTAACATCTATTTTCACATTTGTAATCGATCCACTATCTTAATGATTCGAATAATTTTGGTCAATCTTTTCAAGTATCAAACATAACTTACCTGATCACCGTCTTATGCTTCTCATCTAGTCCAGTGAACCAGTCTTACCAAAATCAAGTTTCTACGTACGTAAAATCGACACGAAATTTAAAGTTTCTATTACTTAAGGTCAATTATATATATATATATATATATGCAAAAAAAATCATATAATTTATTATTTAAAATTTAATGAATAACTTCATATTTAAAAGATATGTCACATGATTATATAAAATATAAGTCTAAAAACACAAAAAGAGAAAATTGAGTTTAAAAAAATGAAAAATAGGGATTTTTTTTTAAAAATAAATTTTTTTGAGTTTAAGTAAAAATGCAAAAATTTACGTTTCCAGCATTTTTACATTTCTACGCGGCGTTTCTATCCGCTTTTACTAAGGACCATTTTTACTTGCGTTTCAACATGTTTTTATGTAGCGCTTCTATATTTTTATGTTTTTAGACTAGTTTTTGACAACAAAGTAATGAACCACTAGCACCTATATCGTTACAAGTAAAATATTGCATAATTGTTAAAAAAAAGGGAATCTATTGCATAATTATTGACACTTTATACTCAATGATCATATATGATATTATGTTAAAGAAGTTCAAACAGCACCAGTGGTCTACTGGTAGAATTCCCTAGTTCATTCTCTGGCAAATTTCGAGGCCCAAATTCAAATGAACCCTAGTGTAATAATTGTAAAAAATTGACTCTTTTATTGATTTTAAATTCAAATATTTTACTAAAATAATGTAATAAGACGCATATGAAATGTGTGTATTCGAGTTACACAATGCACACCTGTCACGTGATGTGTGTTGCAAGTCTCACATCTTGAATGCTCCCGCTCCCTATACACGACTTGGACATGCACCATTCCCATATGCTAGTTGGAGCATCCGCTATGTGGTTGACACACCTTTGCTTTTGCACACATCCCACACCTCCCCATGTCATTGCAAAATTTATAGACTTAAATCGCTTTCACCCTTTGTTGCATCTCATTGTATTATTTTAATGAAATATATAAATTTTAAATCAAGCCTATAGTGGTTACATTGATTTTATTTAGATGCTGAAAGTTGGTTCTCCGATATCAGCATCTGTGTTGTCACGTCCTAAACATGTCCATTCTTACAGGTGGCATAGAGACATATTGCTCCAAACAGGACTCGTGTTTCATCAATCTTTGACTTTATTGGTTAACAGCAGCCTCAAAATTTTCACGGCCAATCACTGCTCCTAGGAGTGTTGATTGATGAACCCAAACAATATTAAAACAATTATTGTTGTTTACATGTCCATCTTAAAATAAACTTTGTGATACAATAAGACAAAATGAAGGTGTGAAACCCAAAGAGAAAAAGATGAAACTACTTGATCATCAACTACAAAGACACATTTCACTTACTCCAAATCGCAGCATTGGAATCCAAGGGCAATATTTGAAATACATATTATAACACTACTTACTTACAATAACCAACCATGCACATGGAGATCAAAATGATCCACAAGCACAAAATGATGTGAAAGTTTTAGAACTTATCTATGCATACACCATCTCTTGTAACCTCATATGCTTCTCTACTCCTTGTTTTCTTCATGCCTGCAGTCACATAGAGCTTTGATCCCTCAGAGGATATGGTTGTCACTTTCACCCAGATCAATACTTTGGTCTTTATTCCCTCAATGTCTGCTAGCTTTCCTTTCTCCAAATAACCAGTCACGGTGGTGAAGAAACGCAACACTGATGAATCCCTGTAGCCTACTTCACAGACCTGAGGAATGTAAACAATAAGCTTTCCTGTCTCTGGATTAAATTCATAGTTTGTTGCATCCCGAGGAAAAATTCCTATTGGTAGATCATAGTCCTTTAGCAACTCCGGTAATGGCTTTTGCATCTTTCCTGTGAATAGATTTTTTTGTGATAGTTCCAAAATAATATCAATCAGAATACAAACGGGAATTGAGGGATGACATTCATTTTCTCATTTGATTTGATAATTCCAAGTATGATAAAAATATATAAATAAATAACATGAGAAAGCAATATATGGACAAGGGTACCATTCCCAAAAAAAACTCAGCCAAAACAGTTATCAATAGTTCAAAGTAATAAAATTCTCAAGATGCTGCCTAGTCCACTCATCATGGATATCCCTTATAATTATGTTTAGATGAAAATCAATTACATATAATGTTGGTTCAAGCATCTGTTAGTGGCCTTGGTTATAGTCAATATAACAATTAAAAGTTGATGCATTCAATGTCAGGAAACCACCTATTACTAATATGTATATCCGAGAAGGGAATAGTTAATGTAACAGATTGGCTCACGGGGAATTGGGAGGGAAAATTTGACCTGTACGGATATAAAAAGGAGAGGGGAGAAAATAGAGGGGTAAGGAAAAAAAATGAAGAGTGAAGGAGGCTGCAGGGTCTCTCAAATATCCTGTTTTACCTATTTTCTATTTCAGTTCTTTGTCGTTCATTGTAAATCAACCGCACAGAAACTGATACCTCACAGATACCAGTGTCCACACAAGAAGTCAAGAATAATAGATTAACTCACCATAACTTCATCCAGTTTCAATCAATTTCTTTATTTGGAATAATGAGGTTAAATAAAATGAAATCTTAAACTAGAGATATAGTAATATGGAGAAGACAAAATTGTTTCAAGCACCGACAGAACCAGAAGCGCCCCTTGTTTCTTGTTTCAAACAGGAGAGGACGGGTTATTCACATTTCATTTGATGGTTAGAGGCGAATTGAAAGCTAAGCAGTGGTAATTCTAAGGATCCCCCCGGGGAAAAATAGAGATGTCTCCTACGTTACCCGTACTATGTGGAAATAGCAACGTAATTTCATATATTGCACAGCTTTTACAGCCTGTAATTGTAGGATAAAATGTTTGAACAACAAATAGGAATAGGAGAATACAAACCTTTTATTTTGTTGACCAACCATGAGGTTCCCCCTTCAATACTCTTTGACATTGACTAATCATCAAAAGAAAAGGCGTCAAGAAATTACTCAAGCAATGTAAGGGTTCATTATTGAACATTTGTTGTAGTCTAGAGGAAACATTTACATTCACAATTGAACATATGAGAGGGTTCATTATTTCTAACAGCAAGATAAGGTTTGTAACAAAGCTAATGATGGATTATCTAATTGCTTTCAATTTATCAGCAAGTGGGGGAATCAATCTTAAACTCTTAATCATTGCACCTTTTCCCAATACTCATATCAAAGACATCTTCTTTACTCAAGCAGGAATAATTAGTTCCTAAGTCAACCATTAAGTTATTAGCAAGCCCACAACATTTGCCTTTCTTAAGTTAAAAGCTTTCAAACACCTGACAGTAACAAAACACAATTCAAGCATGTATTACATAAGTAGATAATCATTAGTAATTAGACTTTAGGGCATAATGTGGCACTATTTCTAACTTGGTTAATCGAAGTAAAAGCAATGTTTCACAGGTAACATCTCTCTGCATCTCAAATTGAATCTAGAAATATGATCTTGCACAAAATTATATCGCCTTATAAACCCAAGTTACAGAGCTTCTCTACCTTCCCTTGCTCATTCACTGCTTAAATTTCCTTACTAGGCATTTGTTTTGGCTACCCACTTTATGCCCAGTAAGTTGGGCCCTATATTACTAAACACACACCTAAAACCTTCTAGAGGGCACCTATGATGAGCCATTGAGGCTCATCACAAGGAATTCCACTTTCTTCCCTGCACTATTTCCCAGTGGGCACAACATGCCTTGTCTCAGAGACAAGACATGGCTAGGTGGTACAACCCTGCACCCACCCTACACGCTCTCTCCCACGCTTGAGAGAGACTCCTCCTCTCTAAATACCCCCCTTCCCACCCCGGTCTTCCATTGAAGGGGATCTTGGGATCTATTCATTATGAGCTGTTACTTTGCACAAATGTGGAGCCACCATTGCCATTTATACACACTCCCCCTTTTGATGTACAACACCATAGAAGCCTCAACAGTGTCTTGGTCTTTACCATTGCTATTATGAGCATCCCTATATCAACATACTTCACCCTCCAAGGGACACACCCATGACTCTACACAAACCAACAGTTCAGCATTCAAACTATATATATGTCCTAAAATATTTTTAGGAGCATAATGTGTCACTACTTCTAACTTGGTTAATCAAAGAAACAGCAATGTTTAAATGGGCACATCTCTCTGCATCTCAAATTGAATCTAGAAATATAATCTTGCATTAAATTTGTAAGGCCTTATGAACCTAAGTTACAGAGCTTCTCCACCTTCCTTTGCTCATTCCCAACTTCAATTTCCTTACCAGGCATTCAAACTACATATACCCCAAAAAATATTTTTATTGACGTGAACCAGTTCTCATTTAACTGCACACCCCTCGCACCATAATAGAATCATCTCATTAATTTTCAGATACTGGGAATTAAACCATAATACTGGGCAATATATACCGATATCTTATTCACATATAAAACTAAATTTAGACATTTATAGCCTCTTTTTCCTTCACCAAAATCATAAATTAAGCATTAAAAATTCTAAAATAAATGCAACACTAAAAGCTGGTAAGTGTAATAACTAATAACAACAAATAGAGAAATTTAGAATTTATTATTTACACTTAAAATCTCTTACAACTTACAAAAGAAGAAAATATTTTATTTATTGGCTATATTTCTTTGCAATATCAATCCAATGTTTCTGCTTCTGAACCAAAACATGCTATACTAAGCCTATTTCCCTGCTTTCTATCAAAGATATACTTCGTATCAGAAACAGGAGGCTTTAGAAAGCAAAGGTCAACATTAACAAGCCAATACCTCTGGCCTTATTCAATGAATGAAGGACACAAAGCATCCAAATCCAATAAGGGGAGATGAACCAAAATCTATGAGCACCCAAATTCCTAGTGGATGCGAAAGAAGAGAATAAAATTACAACTAGTACAAGGAGGCACCACCTCATGCTTTCAATTTTCCATTTGTAGTATTCAAAATTCACACCCAACAAAAATTGATCAAATGTTTCACCTTGATTCCAATTTGGGTTCACCTATTTCATAAATTAACAATTTTTGCATTATTTTCCAGATCCTGGGAGAACCCCAAACCATATCCCTATGTTACATTCATATCAAAAATTAATAATAATAATAATAATTCAAATTGAAAATTCTCTCTTACCCATTATAAAAAAAAAAATGTGAAATTTTGCAAGAAAAAGAAAAAGGGTAAAAAAAAAATATGGGGTTGTATGCATACGCTGATGTCATCACCAACGGAATTAAGCTCCTTGGAGGCTTTCTGGTTGAACCAATACGATCCCACTTTGTTCAATATCTGATCCATCTCGTTCTACACGATCCACAACGCAAGGTGATTGATCCAAAAGGGTATCTGTATCTCCCTCTCGTTCGCTGAGAGAAAGAGAAACACAGCTGTGATGTGATGGAGAACAACCTTGCCTGGTTCTTCGATGGGACTTTTTCGACAGAGTATATAATTATTTATTATATTATCACATTAGCCTCATTTGGTTTTATTCTACACGCTCACCTAATGACCTGAATTTGTGACTAATTCTTAAGTACGAAATTTACATGACTTATGTATCTTTATGAATTTGGTTTTTCATTCAAAAAAACAAGTGTAAGAGAAAACCAAAAAGTCACATGTGTACATTGATTGATTGAAAAATTAATATAAAATGTTTTAACAATTTATATATACAAAAAAATATTTTTGCACTTACCGCAAATAAGTTATTTATATTTACTTTTAAAATGATGTCGTTTTGAGATTGAAAAATTAAATAATTATAATTATAAAAATTATAATAATTCTGAAATAAATTAAAATTACAAAAATATCATATATTTGTCCCAAAATAATGTCATATTAAACTTACTGCAGATAATTTATCTGCATTAATTGTAGAAAAAACGACTCCTTATATATATTATGCCATACTTAATTATTAAGTTTTCCGCAAATAACTATAATTCACATTTTTTTTCCTTTCAAAATACACTTTTAGTGGATTCAAATCTTATTTTGTCCTCATGCTATTACCCTTACTCGTAAACTTTTATCAAATACTAAATTTCGATATAAAATTAAAGGATAACTAGAAGAAATATATTCTATTGTATTATGTTGTTCATTATAACTTTTGTACATTAGCTTTATATGCTCTTAAACATAGAGTTACAATGGAATAAATGACAAAATATAATCCTCCCAATTGCAAAATTAATCCATAAGAGTTATAGGATTAATTCTAATAAATCTTTAGAAGTTACACATTTTAGTATTATTTTTTGGAGTTATGAACATCCACATCTATATTATCTGTAACACTGTCCTTGAATGTCTATTAAGATAATATATCTCGTTTGAACCTTACAAGGAAAACATCATCATAAAGGAAAAGAATATACATTTCGAGTAATATGTTTCGCAAGGTGCCTCACTGAAACCTTATAACGAAAATCGAATGGGACAAAATCTTGGTGAAAGGAAAAAAATACAATACATAATTTACTTTCCTTGATGATAACATCATTTAATATATATGAGCATGCGCATCCGAATCTTATATACCAACTTCTCAAAATTTAAAGTAGGCAATGTCTTTCTAAATATATCTGCCAAATTATCAATTGAAAGAATTTGTTGATCGTCAATTGCAACATTTGGTTGAAGATCATTTGTGAAGAGTAATTTTGGTCAGATATGTTTTGTTCTATCTTAACATAATTTTAAAAAGTGGCCATTATAGTTTGTTTCTTTGAATGTCATGAAATAATTGTACTTCCACTTGTGAATAAATATCATATATGAGATCTATCTTTGTATGGATTATATAAATATCCAACATAGAATATCCTATATGTAGTCATGTATTATTCGAAAGATATATTAATTTTGCAATTGCATATAGATATAACACTTCGAAACCAAGAGGTTCTTCTCCATTTTCATAGGATCGAAATGGATTTTTATTTATGTCAAGCAATCTCATTATCATCGTGATACTCAATGGATGTTCTTTATCCATGTAAAATCGCTTTAAAATCTTCTCTGTATAAATTGATTGATGAACGAATATTTTATTTGTCAAATGCTCAATTTGCAAGTCATGACAAAACTTTGATTTTCTAATATCTTTCATTTCAAATTCGTTCTTCAAATAATATATTGCTTTTCGACGCTCTTAAGGAGTATCAATAGCAGATTCAATGATATTTAAGTCATTAATATATACACTTATTATAACAATTTTGAATCCATATCCTTTAAGCAGACACAAAGGCAAATTAGGTCATTTTTGCATCATTCCTTAATAAATATCCACTAAGGAGATTATACAACATACAGTCAGATTGCTTTAATTCATATAATGATCTTTGAAGCCTTATTGAAAACATTTCTCAAAAAAATTTGTGTTTCAGGTATTTTGAATCATTAAGGGATTTTTAAATAAATTCCACTATCTAGTGAGCCATATAATTAGGTTTAACAACATTCATTAGACACATGTTAAGTTTTTCACATATTGCTAGACTAATAAAATATCTGAAGGTGATTGCATCCACTATAGAAGAATATGTTTCCATCTAATCAACGCCAAACCTTTGCCAAAATTCTTATGCTACTAATAGTATTTTATTTCTTATGACTTTATTCTCTTATTACGTTTTCGCACAAAAACTCATTTGTACTCACTGTTGTACACCTTCAAGTGTTTGTAGACTATAACTCCAAAATCTTTATGTTATCAAGTGAATTCAATTTTGCTTGAATTGTGTCTTTCTGTTTTGGTCAATCATTTCTTTGCTTACTTTTATCAACAAATTTAGGTTCAAGATTATCGTCGTTTCATTATTTCATTATATGATAAAATATTGCCAATGACTATATCTTTTCGGTTCCATATTTTTCTAGTAGTGATACAATTAATCAGAGATCTCTTCATTTTTATTATTTTCAAAGGTTTATGGATTTATGTTGTCGATGACTATTTCTTTAGGATTTTCATCAGCAATTGTTTTCATATTATGACAATCTTGATCATTTGCTCCTTTCCTTTTATTTTAGGTAGAGTTTGGTAGGAGGTATCTTAGGAGATAGATAGACATTTGAGATTGGGAATCTAGTTATACTATGTTTGGTAGAAGAGATTGGAATATTTTCGCACCAAACGTATTTGCCCAGTAATCGATGTTCGTCTATTAAATGGAACAAAATACACTACCACACAATACCATTTGGCATCTGGTATTGTGTGTTGTCCGGCTAAGTGGAACAAAAAGCAACAAATATGTTGACAAACATACCCTCGTAATCTCCTACCAAATCTACTTGCAGATTTACAGCTCATCTTCAATATCCGTGCCAAATAACACAATCTTCCTCTCTCTGGTTTGAAACCTGTTATGGACCAGAGGAAGGCCCATAGTCACAGCTAGCCCAAGTAGCGCAAGCCCACAGGTAAGCACTATAAATAAGAGCTAAAGACCACAGGTATGAAAGGTCGCTCAAACCCTACTTTTAGGCAATCACGACAGTGCACACACACACCCCTCAGGCCAAGGCCATCATACTGTGTGTAGTGATTCGCTATCCCCAAGATACCTAATTCATAGGTATCTAGAGAGAAGCACCAAATCCAAGATTAACCACCCAACCATGGTTGGACATCTCTTCCTCAGGAAGAACATTGGCGCCGTCTGTGGGGAATCTTGAATTTTCCCAAAACAAAACACGTTCTAAAAGCCATTCAACGAGATGGTGAGGGCTACGAGGAGTAGATTTCGCCAACCCTCAACTTCAAATCCCGGAGGCCCACATGTTCCTCCCCCCGTCAGGGAGGACCCTGAAATACAGCGCACTATCCAGGATCGTCAGATGTCGCAGATCCCAGATCCAGATGTCGTGCATGTCAGTGATGTACATTCAGACTCGACATCAACCCTGGCGGTCAATCAGGGCGCACCATACGTGCAAGGGTTGCAACCCATTGAAGAGCTGAACGCGGTTGCCCCCGATCCACGGGTAACAGACTTAGCCGTTGCAGCAGTGCTCGGAAGGATGGATGGGATGCAACAACGAAATGAGCTTCAGCGGCATACGGGTGCAAGACAGATCCGCGAACTGGAAACTCGGCTCTGGCGAGTTACCAACCCTGACCCCGAACGAGCCATCACACAGGTCATGACTGATTTGAGAATTGCAAATCCACAACAGAACAACCAGGAACAAATTCGGCATTCAACAAGAAATAACGGTGGTCGACCTCAACGAGCTGTGGGAAAACCGGCTCATCAACAACAACCACAGCATGATGAAGGCTGGGGTATGCAGGATGGAGCATGGCATACAGAGACCCCTCGTCCCCATCGTGAAGGACCTGTAATCCGGAACCCGGATGACGTGTCCGGGGTATACCAGAGGAAGTATAATAGGGGACAATATAACGACAGTCATTTCGCGGACGAGATTGTGGAAACACCATACCCAGAAAATCTGAATTTATCTGAGCTGGGTAAGTATGATGGAACGCAGGATCCTCAGGTGCACTTAGATGCTTTCGACACGGCCATGTACATCAAGGGGATTGAAGAGCCTCTGATCACAAGGCTTTTCGCAACCACGCTAACTGGCGCGACCCATGCATGGTTTTCATTATTGCCAGCAGGATCTATTAGATCCTTCGAAGAATTTGGTGGGAGGTTCTTGCTTAACTTTGCTACCAGTAAGAAGCAGCCAAAGTCAGAATTCGCGCTGGGAAAGATTAAACAACAACCTGGTGAAACACTACAAAAGTACCTGGATCGATTTAAAATGGCTGCCCTACAAGTGCCGGGGTTATCTGAAAATGTCCATCTACATTTGGTAATAGCCGGCTTGCATGGGACATCTCGGCTAGCTAAGTCGATATACAAAGAGCCAGCCCGGACCTTGGTGGAGTTCATCACACGCTCAAAGAAATACTTGGAGCTCGAACAGATGGAACTCGAGAACGTAGATCAGAGACACCATCCTGGTCAGGGAGAGAAGCTCGGAGGTCGAAGGACCAATGATCTCTGGGGGAAAAGACAAGATGTCAGGCTCCAAGTGAGGGGAAGATTTGATAAGTATGCCCTCCTAAATTCTTCCCGGTCGCAAATTTGGCGTGAGGTCGCCTCAACAGATATGAAGAAGGTGGAAAGACCTCGGCCTTTGCAGAATCCAGCCGGGCTAGATCATTCCCGGTACTGTGCATTCCATGATGGTCCAGGTCACACCACTGATGAATGCTGGGATCTTAGGGATGCAATAGAGAAGTATGTCAGGGAAGGCAAGTTGCGGCAGTATTTGATCAGAACCCAAGGATGGAGGAACAGGAAGAGGATAGGGGGTCGGCTCATGAGCCCTCCCAAAGATAAAAAATTCAGAGAGAAAGGCCGAGGCAAGAAGCCGGCTAGGGAAGATGATGAATTCCAAGAGCCGAAGTTTGAATGTAATGTGATCAGCGGTGCCTTTGG